CCACTGGAAGTTTGCTATATCTTAAAGTAAGATACTCTGTAGACATAATTTCTATTTTACACGGTGCCAGGTCACATAACTTGCAAAAAAAAAAAAAGGGAAATACTTGGAGAGAATATTTTTGATGTGCCTTTAACACGGATTGACTGTCAGAACATGCAGAAAAGAGCTCTTCATCTTGAACAGGTTTCCCAAATTCCCTTTTATGGATTTGAACATAACCACCATAAAGTGGCTGTCTTAGCCTGAAAGGAATTAGTGTGACTGCATTCAGACACTGCATATAAATTTGTGGAATGATTTAGATGTCATTTTATCACACCGGGCAGGATATTTGATTGTTCTAAGATGTAGTTGCGAATTCAGCAGATCTTTCAAAAAGATTGCAATTGCAAGAGTGCTGAGGAGAGGGCATGAAAATGAGCTAATGAAGAGATTTAGATTTACTTGGCCAACTGAAAGAAGTGATCTTGGAGAGAGTAACTTCTCATTTGAGGTAGAGCAAGCCATGTGACTGAAGGGGCTGTGGGCTGAGGCGGCTATTCACTCAGTTGTAACTCTGATATTTGACTTTCTTTTGCGAACTGTCAAATAACTCCTGCCTTGGAAGGCTGAGGTCCAGTTTGTTGAAGCTGAAAAGGTTCCACTTAGATTATGTTTCTAGGAGATACACGATTGCCGAGAATCAGGAAAATAATTCCTGTTTAAATTCATTTTTTCTCTGCCTTAGGGAGAGATTGACAATATCCCCAATAGCCACTTTGTTTCCAGATAATTATGATAATTTTCAGTGGAGTGTACTCTACATGCTGTTTTTCAGATTGAAATCAGCAATGATATACTTGATACAAACTTACCTAAATACATCCTGTAGTCCTGGTAGTTTCCATCTCTGTAATTTAGTATTTTAACTTGTGGAATAAGTCATGCTTTAGGAGAGGGTGTAGTTATTGTAGATGAGAAAAGGGAAGCTGGGTTTCATGGGTTTGCCTCCATCAGGAACCTGTGCTTCAGCCTTTATTTTCTTCATGCAGATCTTTATGAAGGACCTGACATTTCTACTTCCTTCCTCAAGTATCATCCTAATGGGCTGTCAGCAGAAATCCTTGCTGTTTTGAAAAGCCTACACAAACCATGGTTGTTATGTTGAATGTAACAGTGCTGAGTTCAAAACTCATGTCTGACCATGGGTAAATCTCTGTATTTCCCTTTCTCCATTGGCAAGACTATAAAATTATGGAAATAGTAACAGCTCTGCACGATTCTTAAATTGTTAAAGAAGCTACATGAACTGATGAACAAGTATATTTTCTAGTATTTACTGTTTGAATGAAGCAAAGATTTAGATTGATTGGGGTTTTTTGACCTCAAGTTTTTATGATTGTGCTTCATGCAAAACTATTCTGCACTTGGTAGGATGTCTTTTGCATTTAACTTTGTATACAATGAATCTTGGTCTCACAGAGCCCAAAGTCAAAGTAGTGCATGCCCAGTAATGAGCTACTGATTTTAAAATTACTCATTTTATTACTATAATATGGAACTGGTAATATTCTGAGAACTCGACTCTGAAATGGAGACTGTTTAATTTTGGTTTGAGATGGAACAGAAATGGATTTTAAGGATTTTACCTATTAAAATTTGGCATATCACAAGCAGCAGGGACTGTTCAGCCTCATGTGGAGCTGTGCAGAGCACTGAAAGCATCTGGGGAGAAATGCCTCTTCTTCTTGCTTGAGCTGAGCCCTCTGAACAGGCTTCTAATGTAATGTCACCTTCATTTGTCACTGGTAGCTCTACCTTGTTTGAATTCTGCTGCTAAGTATTTACAACACCTTCATGATCAAAGAACTGCTGCCAAGAAGGCTCATGGTGAGAAATTTTGACCTACTTTCACATTCGGCACCACTTTACCTGCCAAGACAAGGTAGACTGTGAGCAGACCTTGAGTGGAGGGATCCACCCTGACTCTGAGACAATAAAATTCTTATGGCAAAGCAAACAAAAAGCACACTGCAAACAGCCAGGGGTTAAAATTTCCCCCTCTTCTGCCCGCTCCTCTTGGGAATTCAAAGTGAGTTTGCTGGGAGAAGGGGTGTGGAAGTTGCAAGCTCAGTTCACTTTTATGTGCTTATTGGTTTTCCATCCTTTTTCCGCTGCTGGTTCTTCACTCTGCAGCACCAGGGGGTGTGTGGAGAATCAGTTTGCTTTCTGGTATTGCTTTAAAAAGTTTTAACTGCTCCTGCCATAAGATTATTGTAATCCCCTTCTCCTAGTACACAAATAAGGAAAAATGGCTACACATCTGATTTTTTTCAAACCTATATTTTTTACTTTACAGGTTGTGATGTTGTTTTCATTATGTAGTACATGACTGATACCCTATATTAGTAAGCTATATTTGTCAAAAATAGAGATCAGTTTGTGTGTTATCTTACCAAGAATCATGTTGTGCTTCTCTTTCCTCTTCCCTCCCCATTGCATGTAAAACTCAAAACTTTGTAAAATTTTGGGAGTTTAGTATTCTCACTTTATATATCCAAATTGAAGTATTAAACTGGGTAGTTTATGCAATAAATGTGCTGTACTGAAAAGAAAATCATAGGTGTTTTTTATACTTTTAATCTGAATATTACTTGAAAATGCCTATTTATTTCATTAGCCAAGTGTGGAAGGACCTTAAGATGCCTGTTGTTTTAGTTGTAGAAGCCTAATATTGATCAGGGGAATTGATCTCAAGTTTTCCGAGCACTGTTTTTGCAACTTCAGCTTTCAGCTTCTTAAGGAATGATATTATGGATTTGTTTGGTTTTGTCAACAGAGATGAAAGAATCAGAGAAAGGTTTGTGGAGGCACTGGGCTGATAAGCTTTTAATTCTGTATCTTAATGAATTGAGGGGAGAGTGGGACTTGGGTAGGGGAGAGGTGTTCTTTGAACCCTTGCTGTGATCAGGTTCTCATCTGCCTCCTAATGTCTATTAAGCCATTGATTGGTTACAAGGAAACTTGAAGGAAATGGTTCTATTAATTTGACTGAGTGTTAAGAAAATGGCTAGAGCCAGTTTTGCTGTTGACTCTTCAGTGGATGAAGACAGAGCCCCATCTGGAAAATGGGAGTGGTGGAATGAAGGAAATAAGCCAATACACTGGCAGGATCCGTGAGCTTTTATAACATCAGGATGGTGATGGAGAACTTTGGTGCTCCACTATGGGCTCTGAGAGTTGCATGTTCCATCCCACCTTGATATCCCTGAAGAGAAGTGAGTTTGGCTTCCTCAATAAACGGGCATTTTCTTGTTATATCCTTTCCATAGCAGGGGTATTCATTGTTAGAAAAGGTAATGTCTCAATGATACAGTAAATAATGGTAGGTTGAGAGACAGTGTGCAAGAGCTGTTGGTACTTATGGAGATCATCTCTTGCTCACAAAGTCACCATTGTGGTAGTTTTAATTCTTGTGTGGTGTTAAATATTCTGTGATTTGGAAGCCATACTTACATCATTGCTTTAGCAGTAGTGCGAAATTTCATCCCTCAGAGTTGGAAAGTCACCAAAACAATAGTCTATGACACATGAAAAATCTGGAGTTTGGAGGCTGTCCATTGGTGTCCTGATATCATCATCCTTCTCTTTGTTCAGAGCTTTAAATAAAAAGGTCACACCAATTTTTCTTTATTTAGTTTCCTCCTCCCCTCTGGGATTATTAATGGCTCTGAAGCAGATCTGGTCTTTTGTTGCATGATCTGCTTTAGAGACTGGATTCTGTATGAGACCAGTGGTAGCAGGAGTTGAGTGCTAAAAAATTAAGAAAAGAAAACTTGCTCATACTTCTTTGTACCTGAAATAGTTCTGTAGGTATTTTAAAGCAGCATGGCTTGCAGTGCTTACAATCCATGAACTTAACCTCTGACACTGCCTTTATTGCTAAAAATGTCATGCAACTTGTGCTGTGCAATGATTTTATACCTAAAAGAGCTTTCAAAATTTTTTTCTGCCTTTTTTGCTTGGAGATTATTTTTAGTAACCTCTTATTTAATGAAAGGTACTAATGTAGGGCTTTTACAGATCATTCACTGTATCTGAAAGGTCCCATTTTAATGTGTATTTTATGCATTTTCTTCATCTACCATCTACTTTTATCTCAGCCAATGACAGCAAGATTCCTAAGGCTACTTTCTCTTTAAGGGAACACTGCTTACATAAATAGTCCTTTACACCATCTCCTTGTTTTATGATATTAATTGTTTATCAGAGGAGAGGAAATATTCCTTAGAAATGTGTTTTTCCTGCTTGTGCATGCCTTGTTACTATTTCAAATTATGCAGATTCTTGATGCTGTGGAAATTTGTGCTTGATGACGCCAAGGCAGCTGCACGTTGTTAGCATTGTAGGCTGTCAGATGATCATGTGGGATTCTTGCAGCATGCAACATTCAATAGGATTGAAAAAGGGCTTTTGATGCAAGGCATAGCTTTCAGAATATATTTGTGCCTTTTAGTTAGCTAATAGAAAATCATAATTTATTATCTTTAAATTTAAAATGCTGCCTCATTTTTCTTCTGGTTGGTTTCATTTTGGCTTCACTAGAAGATGCATCTGGTACATCCACGATTGAGGAGTTTATTAATGATACTGTCGTTCAGTTCACTTACTTTTTTTCCTTTTAGAGTCCTAGCTAGCCCACAGATTACATGATCACATGTTCATCCAGTCATTCATATAGAACACAAGCCACCATGCATGATTTCTTCTTCTTTCTTTTTCCTCTCTGCCTTTTTTATTCCTTTTAAGTTGCTTTGTCATGTTCTCTTTTATCATCAAGCTCGGTCTTTGTCTTCCTCTCGCTGCTATTTGTTCTGTATTTTCCCATGCTCGGTTACTGCAATATTATTTGATTAACGGGCTGTGATGATGATGAACCTGCACACTGGAGGAGCAGCTACTACAGTGGTGATGAAGGGATGTAATAATGGTCGCTATCCTCGGAATTCTCTCTACAGTGACTGCATAATAGAAGAAAAGGCAGTGGTCCTGCAGAAAAAAGACAATGAAGGATTTGGATTTGTGCTCAGAGGGGCAAAAGGTATGTGATTCTCTGTGTGTGTGTGTGTGTGTGTGTGTGTGTGTGTGATGTGCAGTGGCATGAAGAAATTTATACATCTTGGAATATAAGCAGGAATTATTCTTGGTGCACTTGGTTGCTAGACAACAGGATTCTCTGTATGCTATACTACTCAGATGGATTTTAGTGGCTTCTGTTTGAAGCAGTTTGCATTTTTACATAGGAGAAGCACTGTATAATCATTTGGGGGGAGAGAAAGTTTTGTATTTTTATTGTGCTGCTGTATGTGATATTTTGTCATTAACCTGTTTTGTCATGCAGTTTACCTAACTATGGGAAACCTGCTTTCCTTATAAAACCCACTTCTTTATTTCATATGTCAGTGTATTTAAATAGGTCTGTGAGTAGGAATAGACAAGAGAGTGATGTTTTCTTTAAATTAGGTGTGGATCTTCTGCAAGGTGACATTGGTGCAGTTTTAGTATGAAAATATGATCTTTTTTTATATCTTCAGAAGCTGCACATATGTTGCATGGCCTGTAGTGTGCTCATTTTTAAAGCTGTTCATATGTTAAACTGCATGGTACTTTCCTGTAGCCTAAAATCTATAATAATGGCATTCTTAAGAGTTAAAAAAGGCATTCTATTTAATGCTCTGCTTTTTAACTTTCAGTGCAGTTTGCTCCTTTTGTATTTAAAAGAGATATGTATGATGGTATGTCCCATCTCTTGCTCCCCCTCATTTTACATGGGTTCTCCCTTGCCTTGCTTGAGCATGAAAATTGTTCCATGTCTTCATTCTTGGGACATGGTTTCTGCTCTCCCTGTTCCCCACCCCTAAAGCAGGGCCACCATAGATTTTCAGGGTTCTAAAAGCTTTTCTAGGCTTAGCTAAATAAAATTTTTAGAGTTGTAAATAGGAAAGGCAACAGCACGACCTTTTCCCTGAGCACTGGTGGGAGTTATCTGTGCTTTGAGCAGAGGTTACTCCTCTGGGTAAGCCCAGCAATTCTCTCCAGATTTTCTCTGGAGCAGGGAAGGCACCTCAGGTGAAAGACCCAAGGACTTTCCTGCTTGTCTGTGTATGTGACACAGGGAGAGGGAGAGTTGTTACAGGGCCAGCTGTGCCTCTTTTCCTGAAAAGTGATTTATTTTGGTCTCTTCTTTGTTACACACATCTATGTGGAGATGGAATAATTCTGTTTAATCTTTGACATCCTTTCCCACCCCACCCATCACCTCCCCCAGTTTGGCCAGGAGCTCTCCTCTGGCTACAGTACATAATTCATTTCTAGTTGGATGTTGCCAAGCATTTTGCCAGGCGCACGAAAGGGTTACTTGAACTAATACTGAATATCCTGGAATACTCAGGATCCAGCTATTGCCTCATACACCTTGATCTGGTTTGAGTCAGTAAAGAAGCATGTGTTTTCCCCTCTGAATTGAAGACCTGTGGATTGCTATTGCAGAGAGATTTCACTCTGTCCCCACATCCTGATCTCCTCTGGGATCCTCTTACTTTCAGCACCCACCATTTTTTAACCCTAAATTTGAATGGCCAATAATAGGCCTGTAGTCAAGTGGTATTTGCAAGCACTCCATAACTTTCTTTTTTTAATGTGGTATTTATTTTTAAAGCTGACACACCAATTGAAGAATTCACCCCAACTCCAGCCTTTCCTGCTTTGCAGTACTTGGAATCTGTGGATGAAGGGGGAGTAGCATGGCAAGCTGGCCTGAGAACTGGAGACTTTTTGATCGAGGTAGGAGATCCTGAAATTTGATTCTCAGTGTTCTGTTGGGGAAATAGGGATGTTCCCACTGCAGAATTGACTTTGGAAAAAGTGTGTGATGCTTCTGAGTAGGAAGTTCTATGGACTAACACTAGTAATGTGCTTCACTTGATCTATTTAAAAACCTCATGCAGCATTTAGGAAAGCAGTTACAGAGAGCAGTGGTCAGCTTGGCTGGGAATTTTCTGCTTGTTCTTTTTTTTCTTTGGGAATACTCTCAGAGATATTTGGGAGGGTTTATTCTTGTAATTAAGATATTTAGATTCATTTCAATATTTACTGTAGGCTATCAGTTCTGTTTTCTTCTAAGTATTTTTAGAGAGTAACCAAAATTAATGACTTTTTCTGCAATCGGAAATATCTGAGGTCTAGTGCTGTTTAGTAACCATGGAGAATAAAGCAAATTACTTTGGCTTGAAATCGAATTGTTCTAACAGTGCACTGTAAATACAGAAAAGAAGCAATGGATGTTATTGCAGTATAAATTGCCTTATAAAAAGGAGTATATTTAAATACTCCATTCATACCAACAGTACCTCCACGTTTGATATTTTGGAGGATTTTTGGTCAGTATTTTAGGTTTTGGTTAAATAGGTGGTTCTCTTTTTGTGTGTTACTGGGCAGTTTGCATCAAAATAATGATTTGGGATTTTCTTCCTCTTCCCCTCTGCAACCTTTTCATGACCAGCCAAGGGATGCTATGATTCTGTTCAACTGGGTACTGAAAATAGATCTTTTGGGATGGATTGATCAAGTCTTGTCTGTAAGATCTATTGATTTAGTTTTATTTTATGCTTCCTCCTTCCATCACATATCTATATTGGGAAAGTATTTGCTGGTGCTACATTTATTTCAGCAGAGCCGCTCTTTCCATTGGGGAGAGAGTATAATATGCAGATTTTTTTTTTGTTCTGTGCCTTGAAATCCCATGGTGATTGAATTTAAATAGTTGCACCACTTCTTCACAGTGGAGCAATGAAAGAACGGGCTTTGCAGGCTCCTAAAGTAAATAGATGTGCTTTTTTATCTCTGCCTTCAAAGTACATTTCCCTTACTGTTTGTTTACTTAAGAATAAGCATTTAGTAAACCATTAAAGACCAACTTAAAAATTGTACTGTTGTGTTCTCTAGGCAAGGATCCTTTCAATACTATCATTATTGATGTTAGGTGGGTCTTTTTAAACAGGGCTTTATTTTTAGAAGTTGATTTCTTGTTAGGCTTTTAGGAAGTATGCGTAGTCTCTATTGGCAGATTTCACAGATAGATTTGATGGTGAATAATGTGCAATTTAATGGAGAGCATTACAGAATGACAACTATGCCTATGGATTTTTTTAAGATCTCTGAAGGGATGCAAAAACTCGTTCTGCACAAAGCTTTACTGCTTTTTTGGCAAATGAGGGAAGAATGATAATTAATTGTCTAGACAATTTACTCCTAGCCTTAGCATAGAAGAGCAGTTAAACATGCACATCCATTGCTAAATCAGGACGTTAATCCATACTCCAGCATATCTGTAATTAATTCCAAAAGAAGCCATTATTACATGCAAATCAAATCCATTTCTGTGTAATTTATGTTCATCGGGGTTATTCCTGTCTGAATTTTGCAACTTATTATGAGGAAATGCTAATCGTGAGAAATTACAACTTTGCTCTTGCAGAAGACTTTTATGTTGGAGAAAGGCAGGATTTTTTTCTATTTTACGACAACGTGCAGTGCATGGTACTGGCTGTGAGAGAAAGCCATCTTTGAAGGTATTTACAGTGATGCAAAAGATATTGATGCTGAAGTATAAGTGACTGGTCCACCTGCACTTCTAGGAATGCCAAACTCCTTTATTTCTTATGTTGAACCCAGAAGATTTCAATTTACATGGTGCAGTTAGTCTATCTTAGTGCTAAATGATTTCTCCCCTGACTCTAAAGTTTATGCTGCTGTGTGTAAGTGCCAACTCAGCCATTTGTAAGTAATATAATGCATTCATCATAAATGTCACATGGATAATAAAAGAGTTAATGGGCAACTAGGATCCTAATTAGTCCCATTTATAATGCTTGCAGCAAGCAACAGGCTTCAGAGAAGGGAGAGTCCACTTTGGCAGGGGGCAAAGTGTGAGGGAGAGCAGATGTTTCACTCCTTCTTGAGGAGGTTCAGTGGCTTGGGGTCATGGAGATAAGAGGAGCCTCACTCTGGAAAGGCAGGTTTGACAGGAAGATAAATCCTTTCTTTGGAAGCAGGAGAGATCAGGAGGGTAGGAGAAGACAAGGCATCATTTCTTCATGTGTAGTTCTTGTCTGGAATCTTCTGAAGGGAGTAAAACTTCAAAATCAGCTACGAAGCATAGTGATAGTTCAGTGTTGGAGTTGATGCATGTTGAGCAGAACAAATAAAAGATCTATACAGAAAAGGAAGAAAAGGTAAATGGAGTGCGTGTTATCTGGAACAAGGCTGGAATGATATCCTATGACTGAATTTTTATCAAGTTTACAAGTTTTCTATATTAAATACTTTAATACTGATCTGTCCAACCTGTACAATTAATTTTAGCATGAGACTTCAGACATTAATGTTGCACTTGCCTTTGGAAACAGTGTTCACAGAGTCTTCATGGAAATTTTTGACTGTATATGGTTTTTCTCTTTCTTTGAAACCCAGTCATGATTTTGTGATAAAAATTGTGAAGTGTGTAGTCACTTTCCTGGATGAGCACAGACCAAATGGACTGGAAAAGTGCATGACTACTTTTAGAGCTGAAAGACTGAGGTAGAGACAACTGTCATTAGATATGGATTTTCATGAGCAATTCAATGGATGCCAATCCATGTCACTTTTTTCTTAGCTTTGATAAACAATCAGAAAAAGAGGATGGTTGTGATTTGGCTGTTATAACCCTATTTGTTATTTTTCACTATTTTAGTTGATGTTTTCTTGAATCTTGATATCTGCCAAATTAAAAAGACAAAAAAAGTAAAGCAACATATTAGAGCAAGTGCTATCCAACCTAATAAGTTTCCATTAGAAAGGGATTTAAAAACCTACAACTATCATTAATTCGAAAGCCTTTGTAAGTCATTGATAGTTCATCAGTGACTGGATTTCTACACTGCACCTGTTCAGGTTTGTAAATGTTCAGAGAGTTCTGCCTTGAAACATGACTTCAGGAATTCTCTGAGTTGGGGGTGTGTTGTCTTTGGAGGTTTACTTTTCTGACATACACAAGCTAACTCTCTTTGAATAAAGAAATCCATTAAACTGGAAGACCTCTTTTAACTCAAGAATAGTTTTTGGGGGGTTTTTAGTGTGGTAGGACGTAGACTGTCTTTCTAAATTAAAACCCAGTGGGTTATTAACTATTTGCTGTTGTTGTACTCATGAGTGTGCAGCTGTTTTGCAGGTGTTGCATGATTTGATATGTGTTTTTATTTCATGAGCATATCTCATACAAACAATAATGTTATAATATCAATACTCAGAAAGCACAGTTAATGCTGCAATATTTTACCAAAATAACACTTTTGTTCTCTAAATGAGGCATTGAAATTTGCATTATTGTGCCATAAAATCTCTTATTTTTCCAGATAAATGGAAATGTTATTGTCTTTGGAATAGCATGGCTGCTTATTTACATTCCAGTTAAAATGTAAACTAGACAAAACCGGTGAATTATTCATTTAAGAAATCAAAAGATAAAATTCAATGTTTAATTTGAAGATCAAAACCAGAGACGGTAATAGAAGAAATTTCATCGTTTTGCTGCAGAACTCTTCAGTTGGTACTTATAGTAAAACATGCAAAGTAATATAATTGCCTGTATTTTTTTAACCTCAAGAGCTTATACAATTTACTAGTACAAACTTTTCTTCAAGTAGTGATAGGTGAAAAATAGCCATTTTATTGCAGACAGCATTATTTTATCATTGTATTAAAGATATTTATCCTCTGACTATATGTAAAAAAGAGCAATAAACATTTAGGGAGACATTTAAAATATCTGAAATATTTTAACAATTTACACACACAAGTAACTTTAATATTTAGCAGTAGGTCACGTGTTTGTTTTATTCCAGCTCTTTATGCAAACTTCAAATCTGATCTGGAAAGCAAACTTTTAACTTTATTGTTGCAGCTTAGACTATAGCAATTATGAATATTTTTGGCAAGCACAGCATTGTTATGCCTTACATTGGTATTCAGTGGCTTGGTGAATTAGTGGTTTTACAAAGCCATGTGTTTCTGATTTAAATCCTTTTAGCAACAGAGAAACCTTCCCATCCTCCATAATCTTCAGTAATTACCCAGTGGCTGAGTTTTCTCTTATTTCTAGTGTGAACTTTGCTGGCTTCTACCACCAGATAGAAATCTAAATTATTTCTTTTTTCACCCTCATGGGGACCATGAATTTTTTTCTCTCTTGGAAATAAAGGGAGGCTTTGTTGGTGTCTTTTTAATAACAGAGATTATCACATTGCAACTGAAAGTTTGCTCATACCCTCCTGGAAGTGTGGATCCCAGCTCCATGCAGGACTTAGGAAGAGCCTCCCTAGTATTGTGTATAGGAGGAATAGAGCAAACCCAACATTATTCTTACATATTCCTGTGCTGTGTTTGCCTCTCACATTTAGGCCTTTTGGTGGACAAAAAGAGTAAGGTCCTGTCTTGCATTAGGGATTTTTTGGTGCCAGCTTGGCTGCTGCTCCTGCCCATGCAGAGAGCCTCCCCTTTGGCAGGAGAACAGCCAACCTCAGAGCTGTTCTGTTCCTAGACAGCATCTAGTCCAGGTTTTGGTTCAGCTATACAAACAGGATTCTTGCATCTTTTTAATGAGGAGACATTTGCCAAAGCTGCAGTAGTACTGCAGTGTTTGAGCATATATATATATATATATTTATATATATGAGTCCCTGCCCATAAGGGGGTTGGAACTGGATGGTCTTTAAGGTCCCTTCCAACCCAAACCATTCTAGGAT